GGAGCTTTTGAACTTTGCCCTGGGCCTGGAGCTGAACAGTGACAAGGAGGACCCGTACCCATGTCACATTGGAAATAGCTGGGGGTTTTTCTTAGAACTTTGAAATGGAGTCTGCTCTTGTGCATTGTATCCAGAATGTGGAGATGGAATATGCTCGTGTGCATTGTATCCAGAGCATGGAGATGGAGTCTGCTCATGTGCATTGTATTCAGAATGTGGAGATTGAGTATGATCTTGGGTATTGTATCCAGAACGTGGAGACGGAGTATGCTCGTGTGCACTGTATCCAGAATGTGGAGGTTGAGTATGCTTTTGTACCTTGTATCCAGAGCATGGAGATTGAGTCTGCTCTTGTGTGCTGTATCCAGAACATGGAGATTGAGTATGATCTTGTATTTTGTATCCAGAACGCAGCCATGGAGTGTGCTCGTGTGCATTGTATCCAGAACGTGGTGACAGAGTATGCTCGTGTGCATTGTATCCAAAACGTAGCGATGGAGTGTGCTCGTGTGCATTGTATCTAGAACGTAGCTATGGAGTGTGCTCGTGTGCATTGTATCCAGAACGTAGCGATGGAGTGTGCTCGTGTGCATTGTATCCAGAACGTAGCGATGGAGTGTGCTCGTGTGCATTGTATCCAGAATGTAGCGATGGAGTGTGCTCTTGTGCATTGTATCCAAAACGTAGCGATGGAGTGTGCTCGTGTGCATTGTATCCAGAACGTAGCGATGGAGTGTGCTCGTGTGCATTGTATCCAGAGCGTGGAGATGGAGTGTGCTCGTGTGCATTGTATCCAGAATGTGGAGATGGAGTATGACCTTCTTAGAGTGTGTCCAGAATGTCTATACCGAGTGTGATCTTGTAGATCGTATCTAGAACGTGGAGACTGAGTATGCTCTTTCACGCTCTATACTGAGTCTGCTCTTGTGCATTGTATCCAGAAGAATCCGTGTGGCAGGCATGGTGGGTGACTTCATTTCGATTGCCTGCAGAGAAGGACGAAGGTGCTAAGCTCTCTGAACGCCGTGTTTTCTCAAGGTGCCGTGTCTGCAAACAAGATCATTACCAAGTCGCGATCCATGTCTGTCGGTCCTGCCTTTGCAGAGACGGTTTATAAGCCAATCAAGCGTAGTTCCTGTAAGACACTCTAATCTCCAGCTTCCTCTCCTGATCTTAAGGCCGTAGCCACCTGGCTGTCTGTCAGAGTTTTAAGCACATGCTATAATTAACGCGTTTAAGACCCTGGTGTGACGTCAAAACTCAAACGTTGGCCTCAAACCTGCTGACAGTTGCTGTGCCGCATAAAAAAAGTCCCCACGGGCCTCTGTTCACAAAGGGCTTGTCGATTAGGAGTGAAAGGTCTCTGAGGCATCGGTGAATTTTTGAAAAGGAGAGAAGATCGCCGAGCTGTGTTTTAAGAGGGCAGCCCTGACACAGCTTCTGTTGTAGACACGAGGCCAGGCTTTCTGGGATGGCAAACGGACTTGGACATGCTGTCCCGGTGGACTGAATATCCACCCCAAAATATGTCAGCCGGCCCACTGACAAAGCTATTTTAGGAGGGATCCTCATTTTCAAACTAGAGGGTTTTCAAAAACCGCCGGAGACAAGGTTCCTTCTTGCTGGTTTTGCATCCGTGTGAGCCGATGGGGACGGTGGCCACGGGGAGATGAGACGACAGTTTTCAAACTTCATAATCTTAGGGTCTCTTTACTCTCAAAAAATGAGGGCCCCCGAAGAGCTTTTCTTTATGTGGCTTTTGCTACTATTAGGAATTAAAAGAAATTAAATTAAATTAAATTAAGAAATTAAATTAAATTAAAACATGTTTAACAATGTATTTAAAATAACAATCGCAAGCCAATGGCCTGTCATTACAGTAACATTTTCTTTTTTTTTTCCCCAACGAAAAATAACTATATTCTCCCCCCAAAAAACCCAAAATATATGTCAGGGAGACAGGTGGCCTTGTTCTCATTTTTTTTTGCATTCAGTCTCTTGACTTCCCGGAGGAGTAGGACGACCTGATAGGATTGTGTCGCTCAAGGAGCACTGAACCAGCTCGTATTCCAGAGCCCGGGTTTCGGGTCGTGGGGTTCTTTTCACTCGTCCCTTGACTGCCTTCTCCGTGTCCGGGTATCCCATTCTGACTTGGCTGCACAAGGCTCAGCTTTGGGCTTTCCTCTTCCAGCATCCGGGGCTCCAGGGTCCCTGGGCTGGTGGCCGCCTCCCTCCCGTCTCTGCCTCCGTCCTCACGGGGCTGCTCCTCTGCGTCTGCGTCTCCTCGTCTGTCTCTGATGAGGACGTTGTCCTTGGATTTAGGGCCGCCTCCTCCAGGAAGCCCTCCTCTCCATCCTTGATTCAGGGCCGCCTCCTCCAGGAAGCCCTCCTGTCCATCCTTGATTCAGGGCCGCCTCCTCCAGGAAGCCCTCCTGTCCATCCTGGATTCAGGGCCACCTCCTCCAGGAAGCCCTCCTCTCCATCCTGGATTCAGGGCCGCCTCCTCCAGGAAGCCCTCCTGTCCATCCTTGATTCAGGGCCGCCTCCTCCAGGAAGCCCTCCTCTCCATCCTTCCCTTCATCACACCTGCAAAGACCCTGTTTCCAAATGAGGCGCCATCCTCAGGTTCTGGGTGGACGTAAATTTGGGGGGGACCCTCTTCAACCCACTATACTCATCATTGAGATTTGGCCCTGAACACATTCCCAACACTTAGAAAATTGCTGGTTGGGGCTGTTTGCCATTGAACCCCCCGAGTGCCCTACGGCAGGCTTGCACATGTAACAAACAGCTTTTAAGGAAACCCAGCTGCCCTTTGGGCACGCGGTCTTGATTGGTGGCTCCAAGGGGGTCTGGGGGTGTGGGCGTTTGGCTACCATGGGAACCCTGGGGGCTGTCTCCCAGGTCCTCAGTAGCTTCTGGCGAGAGCCCGATGATGCTTGCTCCTGTGCACAGCAAATATGTATTTCTGTGCCCACGTGGCGTGAGTGCCCCCGGTCGGCATTTCGAGAAGTTCCAGGGATCCAGAAATCCGTTATAGCCCCAATATGGTTACCCGTCACAGATGCTGTGATAAAAATAGAGCCCGCCACATTCAAAAAGGTGTCATTTAAAAACATAAAATTTGGGGGCCGGCCCCGTGGCCGAGTGGTTGAGTTTGCGCGCTCTGCTTCGGCGGCCCAGGGTTTCGCTGGTTCGGATCCTGGGCACGGACACGGCACCGCTCATCAGGCCATGCTGAGGCGGCGTCCCACATAGCACAACCAGAAGGACCCACAACTAGAATATACAACGATGTACTGGGGGGCTTTGGGGAGAAGAAAAAGAAGAAGAAGAAAAAAAAAAGAAGAAGAAGATTGGCAACAGATGTCAGCTCAGGGCCAATCTTTAAGGGAAAAAAAAAAAAATTGAAAAAAGTTTTCATACCTCTTAGCCAACCCGAAGACCGCTAGGGCCCCATTGAGACCCTGTTTTCGTTTCTTTGATGCCCTTGCGCGACCTCGGGTGGCGCGTGACACCCGTCCTTGCTTACCCTGGCGTTTAAGGCGGTGGTGGTGGGTCTTCTTGGCCCGGCGGGGCGAACCCAGGTGCATATGCTCTGGAATCCAGCAAACAGTTTCCCAGAGAACGACCTCCCCCCCCTCCCCCCCACCCTGTGGGTGGCGGGTTGGTGGACTTCCCAGCACAGTCTATAGGAAAGAATTGAGAGGAGGAAAGCGCTCTAAGGAGGACCAAGAAATTCCAAGAGCTGCGTGGCGTGTGTTTTCGGAGGCGCAGAATCGCCGCGGCCGCGTGGGACTGGCCTTGGACGGATGCGCGCGCGCGCGCCTGCGCACTGCGCAAAGCGCGCACGAGGACGGGCTGCGCGTGCGCTGCAGAGCGGAGCCGCCGGGGGTCCCCCGTGCCCGGGTCGCATCTCACGCTGTGTTTGTCTCGCTGCTTCCCGGCAGGTGCACACGAGTGAGCGGAGGCCCCCGCAGGCAGGCCCCGGCCCCGGCCCCGGCCCCGGCGGCGCCATGGAGAGCAAAGGGCTGGACAGCTCGCAGACGGACCTCAAGCTGGTGGCCCACCCGCGCGCCAAGAGCAAGGTGTGGAAGTACTTCGGCTTCGACACCAACGCGGAGGGATGCATCTTGCAGTGGAAGAAGATTTACTGCCGCATCTGCATGGCGCAGATCGCTTACTCCGGCAACACCTCCAACCTGTCGTACCACCTGGAGAAGAATCACCCGGATGAGTTCTGCGAGTTCGTCAAGAGCAACACGGAGCAGATGCGCGAGGCCTTCGCCACCGCCTTCTCCAAGCTGAAACCCGAGGCCTCGCAGCCCAGCCCGCAGGACCCGCTGGCCGCCAAGGCCGCCCACGGCCACGAGAGCAAGAAGCAGCAGGAGCTGACGGCCGCTGTCCTCGGCCTCATCTGCGAGGGCCTCTACCCCGCCTCCATCGTGGACGAGCCCACCTTCAAGGTGCTGCTCAAGACGGCCGACCCCCGCTACGAGCTGCCCAGCCGGAAGTTCTTTTGCAGCAAGGCCATTCCGGAGAGATACGGCGCCGTGCGCGAGGCGGTGCTGAAGGAGCTCAGCGAGGCGTCCTGGTGCGGCATCTCCACCGACCTGTGGCGCAGCGACAACCAGAACCGCTCCTATGTCACGCTGGCTGCCCACTTCCTGGGCGCGGGGTCCCCCAGCAACTGCCTGGCTGTGGGGTCCCGCTGCCTCAAGACGTTCGAGGTGCCGGAGGAGAACGCGGCCGAGACCATCACCCGGGTCCTCTATGAGGCCTTCATCGAGTGGGGCATCAGCAACAAGGTGTTCGGGGCCACCACCGACTGCGCAAAGGACATCGTGAAGGCGTGCTCGCTGCTGGACATCTCGGTGCAGATGCCCTGCCTGGGTCACACGTTCAACGCCGGCATCCAGCAGGCCTTCCGGCTGCCCAAGCTGGGCGGGCTGCTGACCCGCTGTCGCCGGCTGGTGGAGTACTTCCAGCAGTCGACGGTGGCCATGTACATGCTGTACGAAAAGCAGAAGCAGCAGAACGTGGCCCACTGCATGCTGGTCAGCAACCGCGTGGCCTGGTGGGGCAGCACCCTGGCCATGCTGCAGAGGCTGAAGGACCAGCAGTTCGTTATCGCCGCCGTGCTGGTGGAAGACAGCAACAACCACCACCTCATGCTGGAAGCCACCGAGTGGGCCACCATCGAGGGGCTGGTGGACCTCCTGCAGCCCTTTAAGCAGGTGGCCGACATGCTGTCCGCCTCCAAGTACCCCACCATCAGCATGGTGAAGCCCCTGTTGCACATGCTGCTCAACACCACGCTCAACATCAAGGAGACGGACTCCAAGGAGATCAGCATGGCCAAGGAGGTCATCGCCAAGGAGATCTCCAAGACGTACCAGGAGACGCCCGAGATCGACATGTTCCTCAACGTCGCCACCTTCCTGGACCCCCGCTACAAGAGGCTGCCCTTCCTGTCCGCCTTCGAGAGGCAGCAGGTGGAGAACCGGGTGGTGGAGGAAGCCAAGGGCCTGCTGGACAAGATCAAGGACGGCAGCTACCGGCCGCCCGAGGACAAGCTCTACGCGCCGCCGCCGCCGCCGCCGCCCGACGAGCCCCCCGTGAAGAAGCTGGCGCTGGGGTCCCCGCCTGCGCCCTCCAGCGTCATCAACAACATGCTGGCCGAGATCTTCTGCCAGACCGGCGGCGTGGAGGACCAGGAGGAGTGGCACGCCCAGGTGGTGGAGGAGCTCAGCAACTTCAAGTCGCAGAAGGTGCTGGGCCTCAACGAGGACCCCCTCAAGTGGTGGTCCGACCGCCTGGCGCTCTTCCCCATGCTGCCCAAGGTCCTGCAGAAGTACTGGTGCGTGGCGGCCACCCGCGTCTTCCCCGAACGCCTCTTCGGCTCCTCGGCCAACGTGGTCAGCGCCAAGAGGAACCGGCTGGCTCCCGCGCACGTGGACGAGCAGGTCTTCCTGTACGAGAACTCCCGCGGCGGTGGCGACGCGGAGCCCGAGGACGAGGACGAGGGCGAGTGGGGCCTGGACCACGAGCAGGTGTTTCCCCTGGGGGACGCCGTCCACGGCGGCTTCTTCGGGATCAGGGATGGCGGCTTCGTGTAGCGGGTCACGCCGCGGCGGCCCCGCTTGGATGCCTGGCTGTAGAGACGCACCCCCACGGATGGTCGTGCCGGCCCGCAACCCGGGGACGCGAGAAGAAGAAGGGAGGCGACACCGCTTTGGGTGTCCGCAAGCCGGCGATGCCATCGTTGCCTCTAGGAGTCCCTGTGCATCCCGGCCGGGGGGTGGAGGCCTTGTTGGCCACCCGTGCATTGCAAATACTCCATGTTTGCAATCCCGCTTCCTCCCCAGAAGAAGAGCCAGGAGGGACGTTTCGCCTCCCAGGTCGTTAATTCCAACCCGCACCACGGATGTTCTCCGCCGGAGGGTTTGGCGTCGATGGGAGAGAAAGCCAGACTGACGGGGAGACCAGGATGACACCCTGACGTTTTCCGTTCCAGCGGGAACCTTGCCTCTGGGAAGCGGGGCGGGAGACGTTCTGGAGCCAGAAGGCCCTGTTTCGAAGAGAGACGCGTTTTCCGTGGGGCGGAAAATGTGCAAAGGGGAGCATCCGATGGGAGCACTTTTGAAAAAAGCAGAAAGGAGGTGCTGAATGGGTTATAAGCTCCGTTCTCCCCTTGTCGGAATTCACTTGGGTGGCCTGGTCCTTGCAAGCCCGGTCTGTCTTTGGCGTCAGATGCTTCACCGGTGAATTCCCCCAGAATCATTTTCCTTGGGGGTGACGGTGAGGCCCCTCCTGGGAGGCGCCCCTTTGAAATACGGGGAACCCTAAGGTGCCCCCGGAGATGCAGTTGTGGGTATGGAAGAGGACCCTCTGATTCTTTTAAACTCCACACCGCGGGAGTCATCGATTTTAAAAATTTACCACCGATGGTTTCCCTCCAGAGGTCATCGTCGCCGGCTTTGGCTGTTTCCGAGAGACAGGAAGGCAGTTCCCAACACTTAGAAATTACTTTTTTTTTTAAATTTTCCCCCACTAACCGCCTTTCAAGAGGCACAGCTTGCGTCTTTGATCCCTACGTGATGACACCCCAAGGTGGAGGGATGGGATGTCACGAGGCGAGTGGTTCCAGATGGCGCGTCCCAGCCTGTTGGCGATATTCCGCCTGGATGCCCTCCCAGCCCCCGACCCCTGACCCCTGATCAAATCCCGGAGGCCGTCGGAGCGAATTTCTTGTGCTAATGGCTGGTGACTTTTGCGGCTTCTGAAATTTTGATGTCACCAGCCGTGTATGTTCTTAGGAAAGACAGCCGCTCAAGCTGGTTTTTCTCTTTGAAGGAAAGCAATTGGGTGGCTGAGCCAAGACCCTCAGCTCTGAGTGTTTCCAGAAAACGGCAGCGAGACGGGGCCAGTGCCCCGGCTTTATGGCTCGTCCCCACTCTGCTCCCGGGTTGGAAAAAACAAGCAGCTCAGAGATGCAGGGCCCACCTCCGTGGGGTTCATTTTCTGGTGGTCCCATCAGCCCCCTTCCCCGTTTCCGGAAATCCCTGTCTTTCTTGTAACCCGTTATGCAAACGCGTGTGGCTCCCGCCAGCTGCCTCACCGCATTTCTTGTCTTTTTTTTCTTTTTTTCCCCCCCAGCCCTTGTGGCCACCCCTCCCCGTGGGTTGAGCTTTTATTTAATGCTATGGAATTGGAGTCCTGTTCAATAAACCAGAGAAATCAATAACGGTCCGAATTGATGGGTGTGACGTGTGTCAATCATGCTCGCCGTTTGAACCACTCTGCAACCACGAGGGAGCTGTTTTCGTTTCGGGTTTTCCGGGCCCCCCCGAGGATGAGCCCGCTGTGCTTTTTTTCCTTGGGTCCTTGCAATGGATAAAGGGTACGACGCACTTCTGGACGTTTTTGCACCCAAATGTCCACGTGGGGAAAGGTCTAGCTGGTGGAACGACGTCTGGGAGCAGAAATACTGCATTTTGCTTTTCCGTTGGGCGTCGGGACGAGGCAAATGGTTTTATGAACTGGGCCTTTTTGGTCCGTGAGCGTGGACCGTTTCCTCCCAAAGCCACTCCCTCGCTGTTACGGAGTTCTCTTATCTCCGTCTGCCCTGCGTCCTGTCCTGCTTCCTCGAAACCGCAGGTCTGCGTTTATCCGATGCTTCCTTCTTGCTGCAAAGTCATAATCTGGCGCCGTGGGTGTGTTCTCTGCCTCGTCTGCAGAAGTTCCTTATTTTAACTATTTTCAGAGCAAGTGGACTGGGGACAGGCGCTCGAGGGAATGATCCATCGAGGTTTTTTTTTTTTTTAACTTTTGATTGAGACGATGATAGTTTACAACCTTGTGAAATGTCAGTTGTACATTATTGTGTCAGTCGTGTTGTAGCTACAGCCCTTCAACCTTTGTGCCCACCCCCCCTTTGCCCTGGTAGCCACTAATCTGTTCTCTTTGTCCACATTTTTAACTTCCTCATATGAGTGGAGTCATACAGAGATTGTCCTTCTCTATCTGGCTTATTTCGCTGAACATAATTCCCTCGAGGTCCATCCATGTTGTTGCAAATGGGACGATTTTGTTCTTTTTCATGGCTGAGTAGTACTCCATTGTATTTATACACCATCTTTATCCAATCATCTGTTGATGGGCACTTAGGTTGCTTCCACGTCTTGGCTATTGTAAATAATGCTGCAATGAACATAGGGGTGCACATGACTTTTGGAATTGCTGACTTCAAGCTCTTTGGATAAATACCCAGTAGTGGGATGGCTGGGTCGTATGGTAGTTCTATTTTTAATTTTTTGAGAAATCCCCATACTGTTTTCCCTAGTGGCTGCACCAGTTTGCATTCCCACCAGCAGTGTATGAGGGTTCCTTTTTCTCCGCAACCTCTCCAACATTTGTTACTATTAGTTTTAGATATTTTTGTCATTCTAACGGGTGTAAGATGATATCTTAGTGTAGTTTTGATTTGCATTTCCCTGATGATCAGCGATGATGAGCATCTTTTCATGTGCCTATTGGCCATCAGTATATCTTCTTTGGAGAAATGTCTGTTCATGTCTCCAGCCCATTTTTTGATGGGGTTGTTTGATGTTTTGTTCTTGAGTTGCGAGAGTTCTTTATATATTATGGATATTAAGCCTTTGTCAGATATATGACTTGCAAATATTTTTTCCCAGTTAGTGGGTTGTTTTTTTGTTTCAATCCTGTTTTCATTTGCCTTGAAGAAGCTCTTTAATCTGATGAAGTCCCATTTGTTTATTCTTTCTACTGTTTCCCTTCTCTGAGAAGGCATGGTGTCCGAAAAGATCCTTTTAATACTGATGTCAAAGAGTGTACTGCCTACGTTTTCTTCCAGAAGCCTTATGGTTTCAGGTCTCACCTTTAGATCTTTGATCCATTTTGAGTTTATTTTGGTGAATGGTAAAAAAGAATGGTCAATTTTCAATCTTTTGCATGTGGCTTTCCAGTTTTCCCAGCACCATTTGTTGAAAAGACTTTCTTTTCTCCATTGTATGCCCTCAGCTCCTTTGTCAAAGATAAGCTGTCCATAGATGTGTGGTTTTATTTCTGGGCTTTCAATTTTGTTCCATTGATCTGTCTGTCTGTTTTTGTACCAGTACCATGCTGTTTTGATTACTGTAGCTTTGTAGTGTGTTTTGAAGTCAGGGATTGTGATACCTCCCGTTTTGTTCTTTTTTCTCAGGATTGCTTTAGAAATTTGGGGTCTTTTGTTGCCCCGTATGAATTTTAGGATTCTTTGTTCCAATTCTGTAAAGAATGTCATTGGGATTCTGATTGGGATGACGTTGAACCTGTAGACTGCTTTAGGTAGAACGGACATTTTAACTATGTTTATTCTTCCAATCCATGTACATGGAATGTCTTTCCATCTCCTTATGTCGTCATCCAATTCTCTCAGAAAGGCCTTGTAATTCTCATTATATAGGTCCTTCACTTCCTTAGTTAAATTTACCCCGAGGTATTTTATTCTTTTTGTTGCGATTATGAGTGGTATTGTGTTCTTGAGTCCTTTTTCTGCTACTTCGTTATTAGAGTATAGAAATGCTACTGATTTACGTATGTTGATTTTATACCCTGCAACTTGGCTGTGGTTGTTGATTACTTCTAACAGTTTTCCAATGGATTCTTTGGGGTTTTCTATATATAAGATCCTGTCGTCTGCAAACAGCGAGAGTTTCACTTCTTCCCTCCCTATTTGGATTCCTTTTATTCCTTTTTCTTGCCTGATTGCTCTGGCCTGGACCTCCAGTACTACGTTAAATAAGAGTGCTGATAGAGGGCATCCTTGTCTCATTCCTGTTCTCAGAAGAGTGGCGTTCACTTTTTGCCCACTGAGTCTGATGTTGGCTGTGGGTTTGACATCTCTGGCCTTTATTATGTTGAGGTACTTTCCTTCTATCCCCATTTTATTGAGAGTTTTTTTTTTTTTTTATCATAAATGGATGCTGTGATCCATGGAGGTTTTAAAGGTTTCTTTTTAGCACAGGGGCAAACAGCAGAGTGCCTGACCTCGGGACGTCCCAGTGGCCCCCAATTCTCCAGTGTGGCCCGGGGGGGGGGGACGGGGAGGCCGGCCGCTGCCCCTCAAATCCTGGCCTTGCCAGCTTCTGCTTTTCTGCAAAGGGCTCTGTCGTATGTGGAGGAGCTCCAAACATTCGCTTATGTGAAACCTCATCAGACCTGTGCCTTTTTAACAGACTTTCACACGACCTTCATTTAAACACAGCAGCATTTCCTTATTCCTTCCTATTTCCCTTATTTGAGTCTTTCCTCTGGGAGTTATTTCCAGGGTTGGGGGGGGTCTCAGGCTTCGGTTCTTGGGGGCCATAGATATTCGGTCCTCTTTGATGTCATTTCCCATCGGAGCCAGGCACGTGGGGCAGGAACCAGCCAGCTTGCTCAGTAAGAGAGTAACTACTACTGGCCGCGTGGACGGTGGGATCCCATTGACGCTCTTCCGTGGGCGTGGCGGGGCGCCAGTAAAACCGTGCGGACGCCGAGCATCCTGTTCACCTTTCCTATCATTTTCGGGCCGTGCAATATTTCTCTTATCTTGAGTTTTTTCAACCACTTAGAAACGTACCGCTCGTTGATAAACGTCAGCTCCATCCTCAGCTCCCGGTCTTATAAAAATGGGACCGAGGGCTAGAGCTGGCCCTTCCGGGATCCTGGACCACCCCGAGATTTTCTGCTCCTTCCTCATCCTTTCCGGAATGACCTCTGGATCCACCCGGTTCCCTGGGTTTGAGAAACGGTCGCGTCAGTGCGAGAGGAGCTCAGCCTGGTTCCGTGTTCCCTCCTTTAGCTGAGCTCACGAGGTTTGCATTCTCCCTCGAGATAGGACAGGACAGCCTTTCTCTTGAGGGAGGATGCTGAAACGGCCTTCAGGTGCTGGGTCGAGCTGCAGGTGCAGAATGCACGCTGGCCTCCTGCAGATGTGGACGCCCCCATAGTGAGCCAGGCCTTTGGGGGGGGAGGGTCTCTCATTCTTTTTTCTTTCTTTTTTTCTTTTTTTTTGCTGAGGAAGATTAGCTCTGAGCTAACATCTGTGCCAATCATCCTCTGTTTTTTTTTTTTGTATTCCATGCTTCCACAGCCTGGTTGGTAAATGGAACATGTCTGTGCCCAGGATCCGAACACGCGAACCCAGGCCGCCGAAGTGGACCCTGTAGCACTTTAACCCCTCAGGCACAGGGCTGGCCCTCTCCTTCTTTGTCTTACTCTGCTTGTGTTAATTCTGGGAAAGCGGGAAACTGAGGCTGTATCCGATCCTCAGTTGTTGCAGGATCTTTTGAGTTTAGATCACTGCCAGCTTTCGCTGTAACAAGAGCCCCGCGGACTTACTTTCAGATGAATAACATTCACACAAACCTAATTCCCAGCTTCTCCCAGCCGCCCCTCAACCCTTCCTTCCGGAAGCCGTTTCTTTGTCATTTCTCTGTCTGCACCCCCACTGCGCGCTCCATTTCTTCCCGGCCGGGTTCTTTTCAGTTACCCGGCTTGTGGCATTGTATTCGCATCTGCTGCGTGGAAGGCCGGGGTCACAGCATGTCTGTGAAATGACATCCCGGTCTCCGAGCCCGGCCCGGCCGCCCCGCAACACAGAGCGACAAGGGACCCTTACATTTTCCAAGACCCCCGCCTGCATTTGCTCCCAGAGCTGGTTTTTCTCGTTTCGGGGTGCACTCGGCACAGATCCCAGGGCGAGAGCTGGAATTCTCTGCCTGGGGGAGCTGGGGCCCGGGGGTCGTCGTCCTCCTTGTAACGGTGCTCACTGCAGAGGGGAAACTCTGGGACATTTTGCAGCCGTCCCGGCCGCTGGAACTGGTTTTGCAGCCCTGTCGGCGGCCACTGCGGGCCCTTCTGTGCTGCCATCCCCGCTGGCCGTCACCCCGGGGCCCAGCAGCTTAGTCCTGTTTGCACCTGGCTGTCCCAGACGTGCTCGGCTCCGGGTCCTGACCCTTCAGTTTCCCGCACGGTCGGCGACTTCCTTTCTCCCAGAGATGGCCCGTGGCCACCGCCCCGCCAGAAATGCAGACTCGGGGACCTGGGATGTGCAGTCTGCGTTTCCCCCGCCCACTTCCCCGGGGTGGGTGCCTGTGCACGGCAGAGCTTTCTCATCCTTCTCCAAGTTGGGGGGCTCCGTGGGGCCCCTCTGTGGGGGCGCTTTGCCTTTCTTTTCTTTTCTTTTTTTTTTTCCGGGGAGATTCTTTG